CTGTCATACTCCTGCAGCAGCTCCACCGCTGTCAGAAGAACGGCTCTGTGTTCTGGGTCCCTGATATTTAACTCATCCAAGTCCTCCTCCTCCAGGAGTTTAAAGGTGTCCAGATCCTCATATCCATTGAACAGGAAGGTGGGCATGTGCTCCTGTGAGGAAAGAACACAGAAGTGGGTCAGCAGGCTCAGCCACGTGATCCATGACCGCCAACCAGCCTCAAACCCCTAAACTTTTCCCATCGTTGTGGTTATACTAATTGAAAGAGTAGTACCACTTGTAAGCTCCCAGTCCTCTGGCTTGGTCGGCAGGTGTGGCGTTTCACTGATCACGGGTTAAGAAGACCTGCACTGCAGGCTGAGACGGGTTCTCCTGGCTTACATTCTAATTGTGCCCTTGCTACGGGCCGATCTCTTTAACACCGCACAGTGCACAGTGGACAAGGCCATTTCATTTACAGACCTATTGAAATCCAACTCAGAAAGGCCTGTGACTTCCCCAGAAACAAGGCGGTTTTGCAAGGAGGAAACAGAACTAGCACTGTAGCCACCCCCCGCCCCCCCACCTCCACCACCACCACCAGATGCCGGGAATGATATGGGAGAGGTTAGAGGAGCGAACACTCAGGGCCTCTGTGGAGCCCAGGGAGCAGAGACCTAAGGGCTTGTGCTCACTGCCCTTTCTGGTAGACGTAGCTTTAAGCCCAGAGCATTTTAAAAACTGCTCTCGGGGGACTAATAGCAAATTTTGACCCCACGACAGAGGTCAAGGGCAGCATTAGCATACAGACAACCGTTTCTGTAGAATAATGGCTACTCATCACAGCAATAGGCCACCCTTATGGAGGACATGAGAGCACCCCGCCCTCCCCTGAATGTGTCCTCGCTTGCTTAGTTTAGAAGGAGAGGCAACATGGGACCAGAACAGGACGGGACTGACTTTCAGGTTAATCCGGTCCAGGAGATCCTCCACGGACTTGGGCTGGGGTGGTCTTCCTTTTCTCTTCCTCCTGGTGGGGCGCTTGGGCTTCTCCTCTTCCTCGTTCAGCACGTCCACGTAGATGAACTTGAAGGTGCCCACCTTGTTGTTCAACAGGCCCATCCAGGTGCCCATGGGTGGTTTGCTGATTATATCGATGATGTCTCCTTTCTGGGGCCCAGGGAACAAAGATCTTTCCATTAGGCACATTTCTAAGCATGAATCATGAATCGATGAGATGTATTCATCACCCACATGTGGAAACACTACGAAGGCCAGAATCAGGGTCCCACAAGTCACCTTATGAATGGGAGCTTGGGAGAGGGCCAGACGGAACACTCCTGACCGCGCTGGAATCCACACGGGCTGGAGGTCTCGTTCCCCCGCCCTCCCGCAGCACAGGCTGAAGTGTCTGTCTCCCAGTGCTCATGGCTAGGTGGGAGGTACCTGGCTCTCTGACTGCCTAGCCACCATCCAGAGCTCCTACTGCTTAGAGAAAGAATTTCCCCCAAAATGCCAGTGGCAATCCCTGCTCTGTGACTGCCTCCTACACTGTGGAACTCCATCTGTCCCATTCAATACCACTGACCATACAGAGAAGGCAGGAAGGTCTCTTTAGCGAGAGAGCACAGAAACTGGATCCTGGAGGGCAATAGGAATTCTACAGGGAAGCTGAGGTCGGGGGTCTGGACCAGGAGGATGAGGTGGTGAGAACAGAGGATTAACACAAGCCCCGCCTCTGTCCCAAATGCTGGCTGGTTCTGTTTTGTTAATCACTACAGAGAGCAGCTTATTAAGGTAGTCAAGACATTGGCCACTATGCACCACAGCAGCCCAGCATTCTACACAAGAACTGAGCTCCTCTTAAAGAACAAAGACCCCAGGTCTAAAGCCAGACAGAGACACACCTTGAGCTTGAGTGAGTCTGTGTCATAGGGACTGGGTGTGAAGTCAGTGTGCACCCTGGCGCGCCCACAGAAGGGGCCCCGGTAGGGGGGCTCCTCATCATCACCGTCTTCCGACTTGACACTTTCCCTGTTGCTGGTGGAGGAATCGGTGGTACTCACTGTCTGACCACCTGTTCAGGAAACACAGGGAGAAGAAGGATAAATACAGTTGCCCCGAAGAGCAAAGCTGAAAGACACTGAAGAAGCTGCAGGTTAAGACACGAAGGGCAAAATCATGAGCCAAAACCATGTCAGGACCAGAGCAGGACCCAGTGATGAGGCCAGGGAGGATCTGAGTTTTCTCAGTGCTACCCCTAATCAAGCCCCTAACTGCACAGGCAGGCCTCCAGCAAGTTATCTTTATGATCTGGGAATGCAGGTGACATCACAAGCCCGGAACATTCAGGACCTCTCCTTGGTCAGGCATAACATTTTTACTTCATCTTATGGATGAGGAAACAAACTCAGAAATGTCAAATAACTTGCCCAAGGCCAAGTGCTTTTAAAGTGGTGGATTTAAATATGCTCCCTTTCCTCACACCATTCTGACGACACCACCACTGTCAGAGTGGTTGACCAACATTTATTGTCAGTGACATTTATAATACTCCTCCCTGCCCCATCTCTTACTTTGTTGGTGAATACATCTTCATGACCTTGGGGACTTGACTTATCCTCCTTCACTCTCCAGATCTTTCCTCTGAGATGCTTTCCCTATCTTCTCTGATCGAAATTCATCACCCCCTCTCTTGTGCCACTGCTGTACATCGACTAAACAAATACAATTCTAGGTCCAGATATTTGCCAGGTCTCTCTCTCTAACAGCACCCTAAGGGTAGGAACATGGGCTTCTTTATCTTTAAATTGCCTGAACCTGACACCCAGTAAGTCTGATTTTGATTCCAAAGGAAACCATCTACAATTACAAAGCAGACGTACTCATCGAGCTCTGTCCACTCAGAGAACTCCGCAGACTCTCTACAGAACCTCCGGCTTTGAGCTTGGGCTTGTCCATGTGTTCACTGTCAGGCTGGGAGGATGGAGGAGAGCCAGGCATTCCATCGAGGCCCGTGTCCTGCAATGGATTTCAACACAATTACGTTTCATCAGAAAGGACAACTGTTATTTTGTAATTCCAAGCAATTTAGCCCTCAACTAAGACAATCAAATCCATTTTTATACCTATATTTGATGCCATAGCCAGTATTCTCCTCCTTTTTAATCTATATCCTTGCTCCATTTAAAAGTCTGGCCTGTGTATCAATTAATTAAGCATTTAAAAATTGTTTTTCCTGCTCAATAGAAATTCTTGAAATCCCTGAGAAACACCTATCTACCTTCTAGATAAAATCCTTTGTTAAAGGTGTAGAGATTCAGCATACTCAACAATCCAGTAAAAAAAGCCAGATTTCAAATGCAGATCAAGCAGAATCCATTAGCAATGTAGTATCTGGGATCACTCCCAGGGAATAAATCATCTATTTGAAGGGAAACATTTACAGTAAATATATGCATATTCCTTGTTGTTGTTGTTTTAAAGAAAAGGCCAGATTCGTATGCTTCTAGTTACACAAATTAATGAAATTGGCTAAGGAAATACCAACTCAGGACCCAGACATATAGCAAAAATACAATTTTTCGGCCCAACCAGTGTGGTTCAGTGGTTGAGCATCAACCTATGAACCAGGAGGTCATGGTTTGATTCCCGGTCAGGGCACATGTCTGGATTGCAAGCTCGATCCCTAGTAGGGGATGTGCAGGAGGCAGCCAATCAATGATTCCCTCACATCACTGATGTTTCTATCTCTCCCTCTCCCTCTCTGAAATCAATAAAAAAATATTTTTTAAATACCATTTTTCAGTCTATGATGAAATGTCTATAGGTTTAGTTATTATCAGTTGTCCCCAGGTTTTAGTACCTATCACTCCTCTTTTGTGTTGTTAGTGACGACCCTTTCAGATCACTTCTGGGATGGCTCTGTCACAGCCTGGGGGCCCCTCCTTTGCACATATGAGTGTAGCACGCTCATTCGATTCCTGGTGTGACAATGTCTCTCCTATAAAGTTTGCAGTGAGAATGGTTTACTTGCCACAACAGAAACCTCTGGCATATCACACAGCCATGTGAGCACCAAACCATCTAAACGAAACCTGTTATTTGCATGGTGCCGAATCATCAGAAGAGCTTTAACAGGATTCTGTGAGTCCTGCAAACATTTAAGGTCAACAAACAGCCATGGCAGCTTCTGATCCAAGACACATTGTGCTTTACATTTAAGGAAAGGGAGCAGATGGCCTCAAAAACTATAAAAAGAGGTGCCATTATTTGGGAGTTATTGAAGCTACAAAGTATGAATTCCTGAATATATTTGTTAAATGTTTGTATTGATTTGGGAAAAAGAGGAAGGGAGAGGGAGGGAGGGAGAAAGGAAGAGGGAGAGTCCTGATTAAAACTATTCCTCTATGGGTCACAGTAAAATAAACAAACAAAACGAGAGAGAGAGAGAGAGAGAGAGAGAGAGAGAGAGAGAGAGCCCCCACCCGGGATTGAGCTGGAAACCGGGCATGTGCCCTGACAGGGAATTGAACTGGTGACCTTTTGGTGCACAGGATGATGCTCAACCAACTGAGCCACACCAGCCAGGGCCTGAATGTATTTTCATTTCTAAATCATAAAATAAGACATCCAATTACATTCTTTTTTTTAACACTTCTGCTAAAAGTACATATGGTTTTGGGGGTTTTTAAACAATAGTGATATTAAATATACCTCTCTAATATTGTACTTAAATGCTTTAAAATAGTATTAATTTACTTATTATATACTTAGGGACTCCCTATAAGAACAGGTAGCATTCCAGGTAATGGGCATATAGCAGACAAAAGTCCTAACCAGAATGGGTGGTATATCAAACCTTGCAACATTCATCTTCTCTCCCCAAAAAGCATTACAATAGCCACTTATTCCTTCTCTTTTTTTTCACTTATGTGAAATGACTGTTTAAAAACAAAACAACAACAACAAAAAACAGAGAACTAAGACTACAAGGTAGGTGTATAGTAGTAAAATTATAGAAAAAAAATGTTCAAATGACATTAAAGTTCTGTGCTCAAGCAGAAAACCCCTATGAATGTGAAGTTTATACGAGCTCTTAGGGGAAAAGCCAACGAAATGAAGTGCTGCAAACTAGAGGTGCTGCTTCCCTGGCATGGCATCTGCTTCCCAGGAGAGCGAGGTGCACTTCATTTCTGGTGAGAAATACAGAATCACCATCGCTCCCACACCCAAGGGCCAGGAAATGCAAAGAATACAGAAAACAACCGTAGGGAACACACAATGGAGGCAGCGACTTCCCTGCAGGTCTGAGGAGTCAGGGTTTCTCAACCTGAGCGCTGTCAGCATTGTGGATGAATGATGTGGGGTGCTGTACTGTACATTAGTGGGGGTGCTATCCTGCGCATCCTAAGATGCCTCCCTGGCCTCTATCCAGTGGATGTCAGTAGCACCCACCCCACCCCACCCCAGTTGTGATTGTCTAAATGCCCTAGGGTTGGCGGGGGAGCAAAATCACCCCACCCCTGTGAGAACCACTACAGTCAACTGAAGCTCTTGGGCAGGCCTTGCTTGAATCACTAGGTGGCTGGGCTGCCTAGCTGGTGTTCAGTGATTCAAACAAGGAGCTGCTTGGATTTTAGCTTACTCTGCCCACCAGAGGGCAGCAGCTGAGCCCACATGTCTGCTTTCCCTGTCTTCTATTTGGTAAATAAATCAGCATTACCTACATATTTCAAGTAGAAAACCGGCAGACACTAAAAATCTTCAACAGACTACAAAAACGAATGCTATAGAGGTGCCAGAGGTGAGGGCTCTGAAAATCTAAGGGTCAGAACTACCTGAAGGCCCAGCTCTCCACCCGTCTTTATTCCCTCCACCCACACAAGATAGAAACTGTCTTTCTAGTGATGGGATTACAGAATTGGAGGGGATCAGTTCTGAGTTATCTGAAAAGCTGCAGAGGGAGCCAGTGAGTGAAAACATCCCTGTGGAGACATGATTACTACCGAAGCCCACTGCCAGGAAGCGTTTTCCGAGTTTCCTTCTCAGACTTGCTGTGTGCTTCTACAACTCATGCTACACCGGAAAGGTCTGCTGCCTAAGAAAACTTGAGTGTCTTTTTTTAAGGTTTGATTCTAGGGACATCCATTTTGTAGCAAGGGATTTATTTTAGAAAATAAAATCTTTTGGTTTTAAATTTGTGCCCTTACTGCACTAAAGAACACATTTTTTACATGTCTGCCTCTCCGCCCATCTGTACGTAGAAAGTAAGGCCTGCACTTGGTATTCCCAGCACCTAGCATGGTGCTGGGATGACCCTAAATGCTTAATCCGTGTCTGCTGTACCAAACGCTCGTCTACATAAACTAAGCATGGTCCTGAGCCAGGTTAATGCCAATGAATGTCTGTATTTAGCACCGTTTAAAATCTCAGACTGACATTCTCGGCTTTCCTTGTGTCAGGAGGAACCAGGGGGACTTTTCGCTTGGCACCTGCATACCTGCTCAGGGACAGAGTTGCTGTATTTTTTGGACATTCTCTTCCTCATTGTCTCTTTCACGGATTTGACCTTTTTTCCAAGAGAGATGCGGGAGGCGGTAGGTGATTTGATGACTTCCTTGTACACAAAATCTCCTTCTTTACCCTGAAAAACAAAGTAAGTACCATTAATCACAGGAAACAAAGCCCCCAAACAGGTTTTATTATCGAAACCATTAATGTTCTATGTCTCAGAAAAATCCTGGCATCCCCTAGGATTTTGAAATGTTTCCTGTTAACAGAGTGCTAGGCTATTAATCATTTTTTAACTTTTTTTGTTTGTTTTTTCAACTTGTTTTATTTTTCAATTACAGTTGACGTTCAATATTGTTTTTTATTAGTTTCAGGTGTAAGCTATTTATCTTTTTGATTAAAAATTAAAAGCAATTCACTAAGGGCTTTTGTTTGTTTAAAGTGGGATGTGAAATACATTTTATTTTATTTAAGGACATTTCCTCCCCTAGTATACTCCAACCCCTCCCCAAGTGAAATACTCAAGGGAACTGCATTTCATCAATAGAGTGACTGAGATGAACCAAGGTTCTCATAATCCCAGCAGTGGGGGAGAAGAGAAAGCCAGTATTACTGAGCACCTAGGACAGCGGTGAGAACAAAATGGGACACCTCAGTCATCACAAGTCAACACCTGATCAGGTGGCCTCAGGGTGGCCCTCGGTGTGGTCGGCTCCTAAGTGCGTGAATTTCCTTTTCTCAAACAATTACACAGTGGACACCTCTTGTCTTACTTTTCACCGAAACAGAAAACAGCTTTCCCTGGAAAGTCAGAGAAAACACACTTTCTCCCATTTTTTAGAAGACTGACTACGTAACATTTTTAGTTTACAAATCCATAAAATTTGATGTCCAAATAAAATAGTTTTATTCTTCCAGGAAATTCTCAAATACTTCCAAAATCACAGATGGGTGCTTTTAGGGGACATTTGACAACATAAAGCAGTTTCCTGACAAAATGCACGAGGCAAAAACAAAACTGTATGCAGAGCTCACCTGCGCCCCCGGGGCCTTCCCAAGGAAACACGGGGAGAACGTGTACAGCACAGTGATGACCTGTCCCCACACTGGGATCCAGAAGAAGCGGGTCGGAGGAGCCAGTAAGCTCAGCCCATGTTTGCTTTGGCCCCAAGGAGACAGGGTTCATTCCAGGACACCCCAGATCAGAAAGACCTAGGCTTAATACGGGGCTATGAACTTGGCCTCTGATAAAACTGGTTTTTAGAAATGTTGGCAAATGCTCTTGAACACTAATCACAGGCTCCATCCTTTGGTCCTGTCTGTGTGTAGCAGCCATGTGCACTTACAGCCGGCGTGAGCAAAAGCTAGCGTGAGACCAAGAGGCCAGATGCATCTGGATTTGTGACTTGGAGGAAACTGGAAACACAGGCACTGAAGGAATGGTGCTACTACAGAGAGGGATGGAGGCCGGAGGAGGTCGTGGTTTGTTCCCGTGGAAAAGAGAAGTGTCTCTAAGGGAAGGGGAATGGGGAGCGAGTAGGTGAAGGGATTAGGTAGGTGAAAAAGGTGAAGGGATTAAGCAAAGAAGAAGAAAAAAACCTCATAGACACGGAAAACAGTATGGTGATTACCAGAGGGAAAGGGGGGTGGGAGAGGTAGAAGAGGGTAAAGGGGGGATAGTTGGTGATGGAAGACTTGATTTGAGGAGGTGAACGCATAATACAATATACAGATGATGTATTAGAGAATTGTACACCTGACACCTATATAATTTTATTAGGCAATGTCACCCCAATAAATCCAATTAAAATATTTTTTAACTTGAGTGAAATAGGGCTTCTTTTCAAAGGATTTAGGATCACCAAGGAAAAGATTACCCAGCATCAATTCTCAGAGACTAGACGTGAAACTCTGTCAACCACGTGGCTTGGATCCGAACCTTTTGCGTTCCCGCTGATGCGTACTCACCATCGGGTAAGAGTTATTACTGCCGATGTGCAGAGAGCGATTGGTCAAGTCAAATCCTCCAAAACTGCAGGTTCTCTGCGGAAAGGGGAGGGCAGGACAGTTAGGCTGCAGCCGGCCAGCAGTGCACCAACCCAACGCATTCCCCACTGGCAGGACGTCACCGAATCACAAATACGTTACAGGATGGAAGTAGGACGAGAAATGATGAGGAAAAAAATATATGATTCATGTTACAAGGAAACTTGCCACTGGAACTGTGTCTACCCCAGAGGTCCAGAATCCCCTACACATGCAAAAACCTGCTGGTTAAAAAACTCATAACCCAAAACCATCCATGTGTCTCTTAGCAACAGACTTCCCCTCCCAGCCCCCTTAACATCAGCCGCATACAGTAGTGACAATGAGGGAATCCATGTGCTCAGAGGGGTCTTGGAAACTCAGGTCCAAAACCCTGTGGCTCTGCCCCTGACAGCAGGCTTTCCTAACAGACTCTTTTGTTTAGTTTTAAATCGCTAAGAAGGGGGAAACCAGGTTATGTTTACAGTAGTCCAATCAGGCCAAGAGGGTTACTCACTCATTGCTTTCCTGACCTAGCCAAAGATGCTGGTAACTTTCCCATCTAACTGACCAACTTCATCAATTATGACTCCTTTTTTTATGAGTGTAGAAAGATGCCACATTTGCCGAGGAAGAAAAAAGTTGATTCAGTGACTGTCTTTGACGGCACTCCAATTTAATGGGGAATTAGACAACGATGTTATGAAGAATAAAAACTTCAATGTTCTTTCGGTTGGTTTCAAACTTTACGGAACTGCATATATTTCAGTGATTTTTATATTTCCAAAACTTGGTTTGAATTTTCCTTTTGTTTTTCTAGCAAAAGCTGCTCAAGGACCATTCCCATGCCCCCTCCCCCCCATAAAAAAAAATCTGTAAGAGAAAAGAGAAACTTAAAGCTCACTAATTCTTCTTACAGCTGATTCTCTTTTTTTAAGCAACTGGTAATAAAAGTTGAATAGCAGATTTGGGCTCCATAATTTGTACAATCTGTTTCTCAGCAAACTCTAGTTAATAGATATTAAATAGAAAATATGAATGTACAGCACAATGTATATTGTAGACACTGCTTATTTAAAAATAAATGTACTGCCTTAGATGGTTTGGCTCAGTGAATAGAACATCAACATCAGCCTGTGGACTGAAGGGTCTCGGGTTCGAACCCGGTCAAGGGCACATGCCCAGGTTGCAGGCTTGATCTCCAGTAGGGGGCATGCAGGAGGCAGCCGATCAATGATTCTCTCTCATCACTGATGTTTCTCTCTCTCTCTCCCCCCTCTCCCTTCCTCTCTGAAATCAATAAAAATATATCTAAAAAATAAATACATAAAATAAATGTACTTTAGACATATATTAAGTGAATCGATAAAGAAACATCCAGAAGGAAAATGCTTAGGTTTTTGGAATCACACGGATGTGGATCCAAATCCTGGTTCTGCCACTTATTTGCTGTGTGACCATCGGTAAAATACTTCAACTCTCTGAGCTCTGGTTTCTTCATCTGTGAAATACTACCTGTCGCATATATTTGAAGACCTGTAACACACTATCTGACAACAAAGCAGGGGTCTCTAAGAATGTTGGTTTTTGGCACTACTTCTCTCTATGACTACTGAGAACTGTGCCTTGTCCCAACAATTGTTATATTGAAGCTTAGGCTCAGGCAACATTCTAAACATGCAAATGAAGAACTAGAGCTTAGTTCTGTGCCATACATTCTGGGAGCTTCAACTGTAAAACCAGAGCATCCTAGGAATGGATCAAAAAGAGAGACAGCAGGTGTGGCAGGAGGCAGGCCAGGAGATGCAGGTGTCATGGGAGGCATTTCGGGGTCACCAACATTCGGGATGTCACACCCATTCTCCTTCACCACAGCTGTTGTTGCTGTTTTAAAGGACCTACCACAGACGTGACATCCACTGAACATTATTTTTATTTTATATTAAGTATCGATGGACAATCTGACTTCCCTTATAACCAACTTAACTAGGCCTCTATCTATTCTATAAAAACAGAAACCTTTTTATGCAAAAACACCGAATCCCCTCATCTGGAGAGTGGTGTTAGGAACACCTCTCCAGGCTAATTTTTAATATTAACTTCCCTTTCTAGTTTATAATGCCCAATAGATTTTCTCATTTTTGTCAAGACAATCATTTGATTGTGGCTCGTTTCCTGTGAGTCAGGGCTCACAGACACAGCATGGCACCCAGATGCCTGCTCAGTTTATGGCTCGGCACTTCCCTGCTTTGCATTCCAGCTTCAACTGCAACGCTGGAGCCCAGCACGCTATTTCTGATACATGGGAACTAACTGACAAAGCACTTATGTGGAGATATAGCTGCAATAAATCAGAAGCTCGTTTATATCCTCGCATGCCTGCTGTATGCATTTATTCCTAAAATAAAAAGCTCCAAGAGTGAACTGGCTTTTTGAAGCACCAACTAACCCTCTCCCTGTGATATGCTGATATCTGGGAAAGATTCCTCTGTATCATTGTGGAAGCACAAAAACTGGAACAACGAACGCTGCTTGAACTCATCTCTACTCTCTCGGTAACAGCAAGTAGATCTCAAAGCATCACCACCCCTTCAACAGAGAAAAGAGCTTTAGAGAGAACAGTGAAATCTCCGGCTTTGGTGGTCTCCACAGATGTAGCCTAAATGAGGTTTGTCAAGGGCATATTTCTCATGTCCAGGTAACTGTAAGACTTTAGATAGATGCTCGTGGATGGGAAGAGCTGGGCAATGGAATGGTCATGCAGTTGAGAACATGTTTTTGGGGGGCGGTAGGGTTGAATTTTTAAAATGGACAAAATTCCAAAATGTCATGCATGTCTGTTTCACCAAACAAAAATTGAATGACCAAATAAAAAGCAAGACAAGTGACCATTTTCAGTGAATACAAAGCATTATCATTTCCTTGAGGTTTCATCAAGCAAATATGGTATTGTTTTTGAAAGATAAAAAAGATCAAGGTTGAAGATTAAAGAAAACTGCACTTTTGGATAAAATGAAGCAGATATATGCCAAAAAGAATAGAAAGAACTTTTTAAGTAAAGCAAAGAAATTGTCTGTCTTTAAAAAAAGGAAAAAACAAAACAAACACCTCTTTTTGATGTTTAACATTATTTGCCCCCATAGTCTCTGAATAGTTAGAAAAATTTTGTTTTCCTGATTGTACAACTATACTTACAATAAAAGGCATGTGCAAATTTCTAATTTAGTGTAGAACATATACTTCCACAAGTATTAATACTGTCCACTACTGCCTCAAGTTCATAGTACCTTAAAAAACCCAGCCTCAGGCTGACACTTGGAATAGAGATTACATAGTGCCACCTTTACAGGGGGAAAAACTGCTCTCATGTCCACACCCGAAGTCAATGAAGACTCAGTCACTGTCCCACAGTGTTAATTAGCACTAATCTTAGAAATATAACTTCTGGACAGGAACACTGATAAAGTTCGATCATTAACCTGGCAATAAACAATATGAGGGGCAATGAACAGATCAAAGTGCTCAATGTGAAAAAATTCTATTACATGATTTAAACTCACAGAGCTGAGTCATCCACTAACAGAGAAGAGGTGACTCTGTCCATCAAGGTCCTGTCCAATGGCAGAGAGGCCCATAAACTGGGCAGAACACTTCCAGAGGTAGAAAGTAAATTATACCAAGATTGGTTAGCCACAAGTATTTTACAAAATACCTGTGGGTCAGAACTGAGTGAGTGAGAAAAGGAATTACGTTATTTTACAACAAAACAGAACCACTGATAACTGTTGCCATGATGTTGAAAGAACCAGAAGTTGCCACTAATAGTATTAAAAGGTTTGCAAGACTGATAGGAATGTGAAAAGATGGAAAATTAGACCTAGCAAGAAGGTCAGCATGTACAGGAATATTTGGAAAATATAAGGGGTGAGGATCTAAGGATTTTTTAGGAGAAGGTCATCTTAAGGGGATGGCACTGGCCAACCAGCCTCCATGACCACAAAAGGAGAAGTTTACTGAAGGATTTAAATCACAGTAATCATCTGAGGAAGATCACCTTACTCGGGAATGTGAACAAACCCTGGAGAAAGCCCCCCGAAAAGCTGCCATGTAGTCCACTCCTTTAGACCTTTAAAAGGGGACACAGCTGGCAGTCCCGAGGGAAGTAAGCAGGACAAGGGGACAGCAGGGCCAGGAAGCCACAACTCCTCCTCCGTCTGTGCACTGTATATGGGCTACTGTGCAAACTAGAAATTGGGTGGGAATTTCGGTGGGGCGGGGGTATCTATAGTCTCAAGTTCAAAATAAGTCATGCCCTGAAAATAAACTTTACAAAAGTCCAATCATTCAGTAATAAAACTGAAAAATGCTTTATTATTTGAAAAGAAGCACTTCATTCCTTGCTATGTACAGAAGAATGGAGCGGTGGAGGACATTTTAAAATAGTTGTTCCTTTGATTAAAAAGCTAAGAACGCCAACTTGACTTAACTAAAAAGAACTCTAATTCTTTTCCCTTTTGATTTAAGAATTTTCCATTTGTTTCTACTGATAAAAGAAATATACTTGACAACGTTTCCAAATCACCAAATTGGTGATTGGGATGATGGTGATCTTTCCATGAGCTAGTTGCCATTGTTTTAATTAACTAAAACAATAAGCCTCTCTTTTAAGGGCAAAATACCCTCTGTTTTGAATCAGCTTCTTTGAGGTCAAGTGACGTGATGGCTGGGAACGAAGACAGCCACCCTCGAAGGAGGCCAAACCCCACCCCGGGACTCTGGGAGCCCTTCTCTGGATCAGGAAAGAGGACACGTGGGAAGTAGGGCTGGAAATCTGAGATGATGATGGAACCGGCCCTGGAGTTAGGAAGTTATGAGCAGAAGAGAGGGGAGGACGCCCAGCTCCACAGAAGAGAGGCCATAATGCTTGACTACACCTCACGGAAATGACAAGGCCATCCTGGGGGCCCTCCGGGAGACTCACGGACTTCTGGTGGATTCTCAAGAGAACCCTCTTAGTACAGCGGTCGACTGTGGCGGCCCACTTCCTCTTTGCCTCCTCCTCCTCCTCCAGCAGGCACCGCCTCAGGTCCTGCTTCTCAGCCTTGCTCAGGGTCCTGTCTGAGGCAGGGCGCACTAGCTGGGTCAGGTTCAGGTGGCTGTACAGGCTCCGCTCCACCACGTAGGTGATATTGAACTCGCTGACCGCGGGGCGCCCGCGCCCCCTCCTGCCGGGGACGCCACAGCTCCCTCCCCCTTTGGGTCTCTGCCGCAGCAGCTGCAGGTCACAGGGCGTGCTGTGCACTCCTTTTCTGGAGGGACGCTGGCAGAGAAAAGCTCGGGAACAGGAGTAATTAGTATCCGTCTTCTTCAGGCGGATTTGCTTCCGGACGCTCTGAACCTCCTCCAGGGACACTAGCAGGTGGTGCCTGCGACGGTGGCCGTCACAGAAGCACACGCCATCGGTACTTACCCCGTGGCTCAGGGACCCCAGGCTCTTCCTCATCTCCCCCTCGGTCAGGGAGCGGGAGACCTTCTGGGCCTTTTCTTCGTCTGGGTAGGAGAAGAACGTCCCCATCTTCTTGGGGGGCTTAATGAGGCCCCGGCTGTCTCCTTTGCTGAAGGTTTTGACCAACTTCCGGCCCGAGGCCCAGGCTTCCAGGTTGCTGGGTGATGGAGAAGTGGTGAAAGGGTCTGAGTCATCTTCCGGGGGCTTCTCAGGGGAGCCATCAAACAAGAAGGGCTTCTTGTGCACGCCAGAGTACAGGGCGGCCCGCTCATCCAGGGCCGGGGGGCTCTCAAACACAGGCTCCTCCCCGCCTGCAGAGGGGGCAACAGACACGGTCAGGGCCTGCACACACATGCCTTTGCGTTCCCCGACCCCCACCCAGACCTTTCTTGACGCACCCCTACTCTGCATAAGGTAAGCTCCTCGGTGCGAAACCACAGGGATTCCCTCCCTGTCTCACTCACCCTCTTCATAAACCGGGCTCCCGCTTAAATAACAGCATGTAAAAAAGGAAAACCAAACTGTGCCAACGTAGGGCTTCACACAAGCTTGGTGTTAAAAGGTTTTGGATGTGTTTTTTCTCCTTCTTTAAATATCTTTGTAGACCAGACGCCTTAACAGACCTATTAAAAGTGCCATTTGGGAAATCTAAGCCAGTCATTTCTACGGTGTCCCTCAGCACTTGCAGTAAGTAGCCTCCCCAGCTGGTTACGTGCAACGATCCTCAGAAGCTGGAATGAGACCCTTTCCCTCCTGAAAGGCTGTCCTGTTGAGTCTGGTTGCCTTTTCATACTCAGATCGTGTTGAATGCCATGTGGCAGATGGCGATGTTTTACTGGCAGTGCGAAACCACAGGGATTCCCTCCCTGTCTCACTCACCCTCTTCATAAACCGGGCTCCCGCTTAAATAACAGCATGTAAAAAAGGAAAACCAAACTGTGCCAACGTAGGGCTTCACACAAGCTTGGTGTTAAAAGGTTTTGGATGTGTTTTTTCTCCTTCTTTAAATATCTTTGTAGACCAGACGCCTTAACAGACCTATTAAAAGTGCCATTTGGGAAATCTAAGCCAGTCATTTCTACGGTGTCCCTCAGCACTTGCAGTAAGTAGCCTCCCCAGCTGGTTACGTGCAACGATCCTCAGAAGCTGGAATGAGACCCTTTCCCTCCTGAAAGGCTGTCCTGTTGAGTCTGGTTGCCTTTTCATACTCAGATGGTGTTGAATGCCATGTGGCAGACGGCGATGTTTTACTGGCACATGTGCCATTTCAGTGATTAACTCGCCAAGGGAGTCCAGGTGTGGAAACACCACCACATAGGGGTGTACCTTGCGAATGCAACTGACAAATGGTCCCCAATTGACAGGACAAACACAAGAAGTTAGGGAACCGAGTGACCCCAGCCAGACTGTCCCATCAACTCGGCACTGCTAGAAGCAGCAGCGGCCCTGAAGGGCCGGGACCTGCGAACAGCCCCACCCGCGTCCCACTGCATCTCAAGGACACGGCGGCTCCTGGAGCCTTCGCTGGAGCCAGGTACCGCGCCAAGCCCTCCGGAGCCCAGTGGAAAGGTCTGGACTTGCTGGCAGGAAAACCGAGCTCTTTCCTGTGTGTGCGATGGGAACAGATGTGAGAAAATAAGTAGGTCAAACTGTGGGTGTAGTGACCCTAACTGGCTGTGTCCCTTTAATTATAAGGAAACTTTTGAGCAGGACAGCTTTCCACCAGCTGAACTGTGAAAAGGAAAAAACACAAAGTTTCCTGGAACAGAGGGATGGCACTAAATATACCAGCTGGAAGGAGGGTGCCAGTGTGCGGTTAAATGTCAGAGATAAAGGGAAAGGACTGCTCACTTCAGAGGAGAGGGGAAATGAGTGGATTGGTGGCAGTCCTTTAAAATTCCAAAAGTTTCTTATTATTCCAATGGGTGGGAATTACAGTTCCAAATATAAAGAAACAAGTACCATTACTATTAAGCACAACCCTAGACTGACTTTGAAGTCAATGAGGTGGTGGTGGAAAGGGAGAGTCAAAACTATGCCCAGTCAAAAATTCTCCATCATCTGCAGGCCAAATCCACTCAACTCAAGAGTTATTCCTGGATCTTCCCGGAGAGTTCAACATTACGGCCCAGGGTTCTGATGGGAATTTGCTAGACCAGAAGCAGTGTGAGAATATCATGAATGTTTCCTGCTACTTCCTCAGGACATCTGACTAATCAGGTAAGGAGACCAAGGGTCCCTGAGCTGCCACAAGTAAAATGGCAACCCCTTCTATGTAGTCTGTTCCCCATGGCCAAGAGAGAGGCACAGCCTGGTGGCTGAGGCAGCTCACCAGCAGACTTCCCCCAAAAGCAGTCCAGTCACAGACCATGGCTTTTCCTGCAGTCCAGGTGCCCACGGAGGCATGCAAAGGCCCTTATCTACCCATAGTCCTTAGGGGCTTTGGGAAATCAGGGGGGTTGTCTAAGTAGTTTAAGGAGCTGGCACTCAGTCATGGGTGAACATTTTCTGGGCTCTGTCTTTAGGGCTGTCATCAGAGATCCCAATACTTCCGTGTCACACTGGAGTTAGAACCAGCTGGGGCACACACAACCACAACATATGTAGCCGTACTCCCTGGTTCGGGAAGTCAGCATCTGGTGGAGGGTTTGGAGGAAGTGTGGCAAAGGTCTGCACAGTGGCCATATCAGCCTGAGGTCTGAGGGCAGGCCTCACGTGGCTCGGGCTCTTCTGTCTGCCGTGCCCAGGCCCTGAAATCCCAGCCTGGGCTGGTTTCCTTGGGTTCAGAGCACCGCTTCCCCATTCTCCTCTGGCTTGAAAGTACAACCATCCTACTGAGAGAATGGCAATCAAAAAAGTGCTCCCTCCGTCATCACTTGGCGTGATATGCTTCACATACTGACCTTTATCTATTTTATTCAGCTGAGACCAGAACACAGAGGGAAAGGTGACTTTGACAGAATAGGATGACTTAATGCCGAGAGAGAGCACAGATTGATGCCCTGGTTTCCAGCCCTGGCTCTGCCACTCAGCATCTTCCGACCTTGGGCAATTACTTCCGTCTCGGAGTCTGTTCCTCACTGGTGATCATGCCTACCTAGCTTTGTAATACCTACTGCCAGGGGACTGAGAGGATAAAATTAAATAAAAAGAGGTATGTGGAGGTACTCTATATGCTGAAAAGCACTGTACAAGAGCGAGTGATTCATTATCAGGTTACAGATGAGCTGGAACAATGAGGGAAGGCGGTGAGAGGGTATCAGCTCGAGGAGAAAGACACAGAAATGGGCCGACAAAGGGCATTGACCTGGCTTACAGTTTAACATTGTCTAGGGTCACCGTGCCCCAGATAAGGACTTGAAACTCAAGTTACAAGGGTGAGTCTGGGTGAAGGACTGCAACTCTGCAGGCTTTCCCAAGCCTCTAGAGCTGGGGGAGGGGCAGCGTGGCAGCAGAGTGGAGACCAGGATGTAGAGTCAGGCTGCCCAAGACACAGAATTAAGTCTGGGCAGCCTGACTCCAATCTAGTTGTGACGTTTGAGATTTAATTTTGTCAGGTGTGCATGAGTTTTTTAAATGCCATCCCCCCCCCACCCCCACCTGCAGGTTCAATGATGGCAACTCCATGGGGTTCTAGTTAATATCACTATCGGACACGTGTGCGTGATTTCAGCAAGAGCTGCCACAATGAGGGGAAACCATGACTGCAGACAGGTATTAAAACATCCAAATGCAACAGCAGCACTGCATCCAAAAGTAAAAAGAATTACCACGCAAAAAAGTCACCAAAAGAAACCCAGGAATTAGCTACAACTCTAAGTTTATGAAATTGGCCATAAAGCAGCTCTCTTTCCCTCTCTCCTCTTTTCTTTCCCCTTTTAACTCCACTCTCCCACAGTAACCCCTCTACCTTCAATATTACTCTAGGGGATTTAAACTAATAAATAATTACAACAAATTAAAATAAAAATAGCAATAATAACAACAGGAAACCATCATCTACAGAAATAAGGGGCAATTCAGTTCCCTCCACAGCTTGTTTTCATTTATGTACAAAAAAAGAAAGACCTCTACAATGATACTTTTTAAATCTACATGTTAAAAAGTTGAAATTCCTCACAATGTAGGTGTGACAGTTCAACAATATGCTTTTAAAAAATAAAGACATTCCAGTGTTTGTTTCAATTCACTTATTTTCCAAACAGGAAATCTTATTCCTTTATCTTTTGGGGAGAATTTTGTAAGATGCTGCAAATGCACATTACTAACAAAAAGAGAGGCAGATCAGCTGTGATTTAAACTGTCATAATTACACTTCAAAGGTTAACTACTCATTCCAATAAATCCAAGCTCATACTGCCTTTGACATTATTGCTTCATCGGACAAGTGGCTTAGGCAGCAGTATAGCTCTCAATGATCCACTCAGCACAGAAGATCCTTAAAGCCCCATTTGAACTGAGACTTGAGACAGTTTACAGGAAGAACGAATCATCCCTCAGAGATGCCAAGGATATGAAGTGCCTTAATTGCCAGATGTTTGTTTGAGATGGATGCACATCAAGTTTTGACTAACTCCGCTGGGCAAGAGCCACTGTCCTTTTGGGGGCAGAGGCTTCTACTAAGAGGAAGTTATAAAATAAAGTTTATATAAAATAGTATAAGCTCAAAATTAAAGCTATGCCACGCCGTGAGATTTCATTGTCACATACTGGCCAGTTCCCATCGTTGTACTAGCATTTAAAATACTAAGCCCCCACCCCCACCCCAAATTCTGGACACCAGATCCTTCATCCCACAACCTGCTGAGCACTGCCCTGCTAACGTGCAGCCCCAATTCTCTCTCTGCCAGAACTCAACCCATTTTCTACTTGAAATCCTATTCTTTTTCTACTGAAAAATGAAGTCCACGTGATTAACTCTGGAATAGACAGCGTGGAGTTTGCTTTTTTACCTTCAGTGCTGGGCTTTTTCATTTCGTCCACCCTGATTAGTTTCTTTCTCACTCTGCGAGTGGAGTTGACCAGCTTGTGTAACCTCTTAAACTTCACCGACTCCTCGGTCTCATCATCCGATTGTTCTCTTGACTGGCAAAGGGACAAAAGAAAAGTTAATCAGATAATTGCTCCGGAGCTCTGCTCTTGCAGCCGGTACAGCCCGGCCTCGCCGCCAGCGTGCGCTCTGGCAGTGCTGCAGCGGAACCTGGGGCACCAACCAATCTGCCCAACAGGTTCCTGAAGCTCCACCTACCTACCATCTTAAGGTCTAAGGAGTGGAGGAGCAGGTCCTAGGCAGCAGGACACACACCCTTGCCCTTGACCGGCATGTGGTGCATTTTGTCTCCAGTACTTGCCGGTGCCCTGTCAGGAGGACTCCGCAGGACTCTCTCTCCAAGGCCGGCCCTGTAATTCCAGTTTCACTGCTGTGGTTTGGGCCAGGCTCTCCTCTGTCTGGCCCATCAGGACTTGCTGTTTAAACGTGGTCACCAACTACTTCTCCAAACCAAAATTCTGTTGACTGGTTCCAGTCCTCCCCGAAAATCAAAACCAGCAGGGCAGGAAAAGGGAAGAGATGCGAAAAGCCGCCTGCTCTGTCACCCGTGAGGACCTCCTGCCACCTCTCAGCCATCCCTCCGGCCTCTCCCAGCTCCTTCCAAGAGCTCCCCAGGCCAGCGTGAGGACAGCCCCTGCATTCCTCCGCGAGGGACAAGGGAAAAAGCTGACCTTTTCAGCCATACACTACAGTCCATATTCCCCAGCATCCCATTCCGTTTTGCAGCGATTCAAGTATGCTCAGCCCAGCTGTTTTCCCTCAAGTATCCAACATTACAGAGAGAAGAAAAAATTTCTCTCCGCAGCAGTGACCCAGGCAAAAAACAATCCTTTCCTTGTGAACCAAATGAGGGTTTTGCTTCCAAGTCCGTTCCAACATTCAATACGCAGCTTCCTCTGTTTTATCTGTTCAAAATGTAAAAAACCCCAAAGACGTCTCCAACGAAATGGGCTGCCGCTCGGCCTGGCTCGCATTCCCGAGCGCAGAGCCCTGGCAGTGCGCAGGCGCGGCACACCCTGGGCAGCTGGTGCGACTCCAGCTGGTACTGCACATCCTGGCAGCAGCTTTCTCTCCATTTCCTCAAGCCCATTCCCTGAAGGAGCAGGGAGAGGAATGCCTCCACTGAGATCCCGGACACAAACAAGCCACATCTCTGAGCACGGGTTCAATATGGAGACTTCCCCCCAAGAAATGCACTTATGAGTCGCGACTTTATGGATGATAAAATAGGTAACCAAGAGGGAGCACAGCACAATTCAAGAGGAAATGGGTAGAGATTATATGAATTGCTTGGGTATAAAAATGGTGCATGTCCTGAGTCTGCACATATTTCTGCAGCATTGCGGCTCTGCGGCAGGGATCACTACAGCCCAGTTCCTGGCCTCCTTCCTGGGCTCCCAGCGTGTACGTTCTCCCTGCACGATTCTAGGCAAATCATTCACCACTAAAGAATAATGATTACCACCCATCAATGACAAGTCATCAGACAGGGGTATTTCTCAGGCTTCCCTTCTGTGAAGAGTATCAATATCCATGGTAAATTTCCCTAAAATTCCTAGATAAAATGTTGCACACACACCTCAAAATTAAGGTTAACTACTGGTTACCTGGTGATCAAGAACAGAAATTAGCCCTAGCCAGTTTGGCTCAGAGGATAGAGCGTGGGACTGCAGACTGAAGGGTCCCAGGTCCGATTCTGGTCAAGGGTACCTACCTCGGTTGCAGGCTCCTCCCTGGCCCGGCCCTAGTTGTGCAGGAGGCAACCAATCGATGTGTTTCTCTCACATCTATATTTCTGTCTTTCCCTCTCTCTTCCACTCTCTCTAAAAAATCAATGGAAAAATATCCTCAGGTGAGGATTAACAATAAATAAATAAACAAACAAACATTAAAAACAATAAAAATTGCACCCCCAGATATTGGGGGGGGGGGCTATATTGCATGCTGGTAATTAGGCTTACTGCATTTGGCCTAAAACTCAAAATATAAGACAATTACAAGGAAATAAATATAGCTCCTACTCTATAATGATATTGTCTGGTTTTAATTTCATTTTTACTTCACTGAATTGTTATGTACAATGAAACGGTTGCAGTGGTCAACCAGAGGAATGAGAACTTGGTCAACCCTCTTTCTGGGTAATTGGCACCTGAACAAAACCACAATGCATGGAATTACACGTAAACATGTAAAAACATTCCGCCCTCTGGATGTATCTCAAAAGCCAGGCAAATCTAATAGAAGAATAATCAACACTAGATTATAGAAAGTCTCTGTACATACCAACAGACAAACCTAGAATAGGTATGTATGTCTATAACCCTCACATTAAAAAATTCTAAAAGTGAAATAAGCATAGGTTGTTTATAATCAAGATATAGAAAGCTACATTAGAGGATAAAAATCACTGATGTATTATATATACCTCACACCTAGCTTGGGGTTGCTGGTGAGTGGTGGTGGTGATGGTGTGTGTGTGTGTGTGTGTGTATGTGTGTGTGTGTGTGTGTGTGTGTGTGTGTGTGTAGGGGATAGGGAAAGTAAAAAGAGAAATGGAATACAGAAAGAACACAAAAACCTTCAGTCCACAAAGACACAAATCTTAAATAGGAAACAAGCCATCAGAGGGAGCTTTTCTGGGAGAAATAAAAAAAAAGTGAAACCAGGACAACAGATTTAAAGGCAAAGACACTCCCCCTCCCCCCTGCTCCTCCAGTCCTAATTTCCTCTGCCCAGATTCACTGTGGTGAAAAATAACATATTCCAGGTACTTATTTAATTGCTTTCACATGGCCCATCTACTTTTAAGAAACAGAAGCTCTTTAGAACTTTGAACTAATGGTTATTTTTTCTTTAAAAAAATGAATATTTTAGAAGTGTTTGCCTCTGACAAAACATAAATCACAGCAACCAGTAACTTTCTTTTGCTTTTCTGGGAGAAATATGATTTCAGAGATGAAGGGAAAGAGAGAGACAGAAACATCAATGATGAGAGAGAATCATTGATTGGCTGCCTCCTGCACGCCCCCACTGGGGATCAAGCCTGCAACCTGGGCATGTGCCCTTGACTGGAATCGAACCCGAGGCCCTTCTGTCCACAGGCTGATGCTCTATCCACCAAGTCAAACCGGCCAGGGCACTGATAACTTTCTTTGCATTGCCATGTTTTTAATACTAGACAAGGTAGATGCAACACAATCTGTATGAAGAAAAATGTGAAATAAAACCATATGTGTGTGTGTGTGTGTGTGTGTGCATACAGAGTAAAGTCTATATATATTTCTTCTTTAAAATAGAAAAATATCTTAAGTAGCCTAGAAGTTACTGAAGTTGGACAATGAATCCCAACAATGTTTTTTATTGAGGTGTTGACTTCTCACTTCCTCCAGAGTCCAGAGGAAAAACAATTGTGAAATATTTGCCTTTAAAAAGTTCTCTCTAGCTGTTTTAACATAAAGACTGTAAAAGGCATGCATTTGTTTTAAACTTAAATTTCTTTTAAGCTTAAATTCCTCATTTCATGTCTCTCCTTTTACATAAGCAATGTGTCACTTCCCAAATGCTGGAAATAACATATTGTGTCTTTTTATTCAGAAAATATACCCAGATACGGGGGTGTGAGAATTTACAATTTTTAAAAATATACATTTTTATTAATTCCAGAGAGGGAGGGAGAGGGAGAGAGAGAAATAGCACCAATGATGAGAGAGAATCATTGATGGGCTGCCCCCGTGTGCCCCTCACTGGGGTCGAGCCCGGCAACCAGGCCATGTGCCTCTGACGGGAATCGAACCTGGGACTCTTCAGTCTGCAGGCTGACGCTCTATCCACTGAACCAAACTGGCTAGGGCTACAATTTTTTTTTTAAATTAAGAAATCTTCCTGCCGGGAGGAACTTAGTAGAAGATGAAGAAAATCTGCACTGTATACGAATGATTGATTCCAAAATAAATTCAGAACTATTATAAGACAAGTTTTAAATAAACTACAGTAAAAAAAATGTATATATTTTATATACATTCAAACACAAGATGGTCTCTCCTCCCCTTCCCTGTCCTGCCCCAGGACAGAGTAATAAAATAAACTTTAATTTGCTCATCTTCTAAATGAGAAGGTGAAAACTCAATCATCTGCATAAAACCCCCCACCTCTAATCCTTTAGTAGAAAACGGCAATTAATGTATCCCACCAAAGGATGTGGAAAAGTGGATTTACAATATTATGAATACAAACATTTGATTTCCAGCCTCTGTATTGCAGATTTTTCCAACAGAAAGCCCATAGGGCTTAATGTTTAATTACTTTGGCTAATGCTATATGTAGTAATTCTGTGGTGAATGCTTAAGTGTTTCATTTCTGGTTTCCATGGCAACATTACATCAGATTGCAGACAGCTGGCTCCACAGTTTTAAACCATAACAAAGTGACCAAGCCAAAGCACAAAACTATAGCTGCTTTAAAGAGATAGTACACCATTGCCTGCCAGGGTGCTGAATGAGGAACCTAGGGGGCCCTTTGGCTCGCAAAGGTGGGTGGAGCCTCCTTCCCTCTCAGCTTCTTTTGGAACATGTGCGTCCTTGACACATCTGCAATGTTCTAATAGGAAAGACATGGAGCCAGCGTGGAGGATTTTTTATAACACAGCTACATTTTAAATGATCGGGAAAAAAGGAACATGATTAACAGCATCTGTTGATACAAACATTTGTGTAGTGGCGCAAACTCACAGTGTCCCCTCGCTGTTCAATGTAAGCCTGTCACTGCAGGTCGGTAAACAGATACTTCACTGAACCGTGTAACTACAATTCCTGCAACTCTGACGAGACAAACAAATGCTTTCCGAAAGCTGCATGGCACAGTGGTGCAGGCACAGGCATAATGGACTGTCATACAGGTTAACGCGACCTTGCAAGGAGCAACCGGAACCCTCTGGGGACAGCTTGAGACCACACTGAGCACAGAATTCCCACCGAGCCTTCTGAAGAAACACACTCAGCTCACTTCTCCAGCTCCAAACACCCCTTGCAGAGTCTCA